TCAGAAAATCTGTGGCCAGGAGAGCAGCCGTAACTGACGCCGGGAGAATTTAAGTCTAGCAAACTACAGGACTCTGGCCTAAAAATTTTAGTTAGGATCGCCAAAGTATAATGACAGCGGCCGATGGCTATCACAAGTGCCAAATGAAAAGCAGGTGAGGTCTGCTACTTCTGAATATTTTGTCAAGTAAGTTCCACATCCCACTGCTGCCCCACCTGCAGAAAATAAATATACAATTAGAGCAAAGGTAGACTGAGGAAGAATTGATGCCTTTGAATTGTGGTGCTGGAGGAGGCTCTTGAGAGTCCCCTGGACTGCAAGGAGAACAAACCTGCCAATTCTAAAGGAAATCAACCCTGAGTGCTCACTGGAAGGGCAGATCCTGAAGCTGAGGCTCCAATACTTTAGCCATCTGATGAGAAGAGAAGACTCCCTGGAAAAGACCCTGATGCTGGGAAAGTGTGAAGGCAAGAGGAGAAGGGGACGACCGAGAATGAGATGGATGGACAGCGTCATCAAAGCAACCAACATGAAGCTGACCAAACTCCAGGAGGCAGTGGAGGATAGGAGGGCCTGGCGTGCTCTGGTCCATGGGGTCAGGAAGAGTCGGACACGACTGAGCGACGAACAACAAGACTGAGGAAATTAATGACCCATCTACTCTGGAAGAAAAAGCCAGAAGAATCTTTGAGGAAGTAGCACCACATTATTTCTCGCTTCCCCTCTCCCCCGCCAGCCTCCACTACAAGGCACTGAGAGTGGTTATGCATTGTAGAGTTCAAGCTGCAAAATTAGGCTTTGGGAGGGTGTACAGAGTGCATTTAGTATTAGACCCAGCCTTAAGGACTTGCATATGTCTGTCCAATGCCAAGTTAATGTAATATTTTGGAGTGGGGGCAGAGCAGGGGCCTGTCTGCCCAAAATAAACTTATTCAAGTTTATTTCTAACAGGACATGATATCTCAAAGGCAGTGTATTTTAAGCATGTTCTCAGGGTGCTTCTCTTCAAGTCTTTTCCCCCTATACATACACTCCTACCACGACTTAGATAACAGGGGTAAATGTGGATTTCCAGCCAAACTAAATATGCAGGTAGGCATATACATGCAGCACATGATTACCACTCGGTAGAGCAAGAACAAAGTAAAGTGTACTGCTTATATACTGCCCCATAGCACTTACAGCAGTCTCTGGGCAGCTTACAATTAAATTATGCAGGCTATACATTACTCCCTAAGCAAACTGATATTCAATTTACTGACCTTGGAAGGATGGAAGGTTGAGTGAACCTTGACCAAGCTACCTGTGATTGAACCTGGGATTGCAAAGGCAGATCAGAAGTGCTTAGAAGTAAGGGTCTTGTTTTTGTCATAAGAGATTAATGTGTTGCTACTAACTAAGGTACTTTTCAAGCATCCCTAGGCAAGGCTTATGTTTTGCCTACGGCTGGGTGGAGGTCTAGTACTTTCAGAAGCAGGATGCAGGTCAATTTGGGGGAAAAGAATTTGTTAATTTCACCATATACACACCAAACCTTGCACAAAGGCAGTTAGTGGGTCAGAATATCCCCTTTAAAACACAATTTTCAGCATCAATTCTTTGACCATATTTGAAAGTGAGGTTTTCTTGTCTTTACTGATAGCACTATCAGGCAGTGCACTCCAGTGAGAAAGCAGAATGCTTTTCCAGGCAGATGATGCCTCATGGGGGTTTAAAAATAAATTTTATATAATAGCCGTTCTTCCTTCCCCATGCTATGTTTTGTGTAAGATTATCTAAAAGATGAAGCAGCTCTAGATTCCTTAATCAAGCTGGCTGAGAGCTTGTTCCACACAAAACAGAGCCACAAGTGTATTTGTCATCTTACACTTGATGCTTAACAGTTTGTTAGGTGTGGTTTGTAAGCACACACCAAACCTTTGAATACTGGGAAAAGGTGACCATTTGTATTTCAGTGTTTTGTTGTTGTTGTTGTTGTTGTTGTTGTTGTTGTTGTTGTTGTTGTTGTTGTTGTTGTTTTAAATGCAAGGTCTTACACAAAATGCATACTTACACACCAAGGCAAGGGCACATGGAGCAGCCTGTGCATCCTATGAAAGTCTTTCATGTTAAAAAAATTCAGAGCAGTACATGTAGTTGATAACCAGATCCAAGTTGGGCTTCAGAGAAAGGTGATAAAATTATGAAAGGACAGTGAGGTCCTTTTCTTTATGTAGAAGCTGTACTTTTATATTAAAGATAATAATACTCGTATATCCTCCTGTTGACACTTTTAGTTGTCATCTATCACCTGTGCCTCCTAATTTCCCCAGAAAATGATAAAATAAGTTACATTTATTTGATTCCTGCTGCCATTGCTTCCTACCCTGTCTTGGTTAAGGAACACATCTTCCAATCTTTCTTGCTTCCAAATGCATATATCATATAATCATAGAATAATGTGCACTTCTCTCTTGAATTGCACTAGTTCGAGCAGCAGGTTTTAGTTATGCACAGATTTCTTTAAATAAATAAATAAATATTCAATATAGTCAAAAAACACTATGCTGCTATTTGCCTCCAGGAAGTAATCTGAGAAAGGTGGGTCTTGGACTTTCCAAGGTCCCTGCTGTTGTTGGTGTAGAAAAAAACCCCCCATTCCAATGGCAGTGGCCTGGCTGGCCCCCTTTCCTGCCATGGCACCTCCTACATGGCAGCTGGGGAGGGTGATAGTGGTCAGGGGAAGTCTGTCTGTCTCTTTGTCTGTTAATCAAGTTTATGCTTGGTAGTTGTGTTTTTCTGAGCATAAGTTATACACAGATTTTGAACTACACGAGGGGTTAGTACCCCAGCATTGTTGAAGAGAGGTGTCATTGGAAGGGGCTTATAAGGCTATTGAGTCCAACCCCCTGCTCAGTGCAAGAGTCCATATCAGCATATATCTGACAGATAGTTGTCTAACTTTCTTTTGAATGCCTCAGTGTTGGAGAACCCACCACCTTGAGGTAATTGCTTTCATTGTTGTACTGCTCTAACAGTTAGAAAGTGTGCCCTAATACTGAATCTGGCTTCCAGTTGAGGAAAAGCCATTGAAAAGCACTCTCTGAGTACCATTCTATAACCAATTGTGTATCCATTTGATAGTTTTTCTATCCAGCCCCCTCCTATTTAGCTTCCTAATCAGAATATCATGGGGCACCTTGTTAAAAACTTTGCTTAAGTCAAGATATATGACATCTAAAGCATTCTCACTATCTATCAGGGAGGTTTGTGGTGGTGGTGGTGGTGTTCCATCAAGTCAGAATTGACTTATAGCAACCCTAATAGGGCTTTCAAGGTAAGTGAGATTTACATGACTGAGTAGTGATTTGAACCTAGGCGTCCTGAATCCATTACACCAGTGATCTCCAACCTTGGGCCTCCAGATGTTCTTGAACTACAACTCCCAGAAGCCTTCACCACCACCTCTGCTGGCCAGGATTTCTGGGAGTTGAAGTCCAAGAACATCTGGCGGCCCAAGGTCAGGGACCACTGCATTACACCATCCACTACACCAAATCAGGTATAAGATTAGTCTGGCAAGATTTGTTCTGGATGAATCGATCTTGGCTTCTAGTTATTATTTAATTGTTTTCAGGGTGCTTGCAGACTGACTGCTTTATAATCATCTCCAAAAATTTTCCCTAGGACTGATGTCAGGCTGACTGGTTTGCAATTTGCCCTTGTTTAAAGATAGGGACAATGTTAGCCCTCCTCCAATCATCCAGCACTTCAACAGTAGTTCTGAGAGTTCTTCAACCAAGTCCTTCAGTACTCTTGGGCCATTTCATCAGGCCCTGGAGATCTGAAGTCATTCAAAATTATAGGGTATTCACTGACTATTTGTTTATCCATGTCAAGCTGCAATCCTGTCCCCTTCATTTGTACACATTTGCCTGGAAGGTCATAGAGTGTCTTTTGGGAAAAGACTGGGCCAAAGCAGGAAATAAGCAATTTTGCCTTTTCTTTGTCTTCTGTTACCACTCTTCCATCCTTACTGGGTAACTGAGCCACTATTTATTTTCTTTGTCTTTTGCTATACACCTGCCTGAAGAATGCTCTTTCTCTAGCTCTTACTTGTAGTGTTTCTTGTTAAAAGCTCATTCTGAGCTTTTGCCATCCTCATGTCATCATGGGGGTGGGCGCGGGCTGCAACGCTTCCCCCCCGTGAGCACGTCACATGCCCACAGCAGGCGCGACATGCCCACTGCATGGGCATGTGAGGGCAATGGAGATTTTTATCCATGGCCCAGTTCCAGCAAGCCAACGGACTGGCACTGG